TGATGCGTCCACTTTTGCAGTCGCTGCTATCCTGTCACACCTTGCAGGATGACGGGCACTGGCATCCAGTTGCCTTCTGGTCAAGAAAGTTGATTGATGCGGAAACGCGTTATGATACTCATGATAAAGAACTCTTGGCTATTGTAGCAGCATTTAAGAATTGGAAACACTATCTGGAGGGAAGCCAGTATCCAATTCAAGTCTGGTCTGATCATGCCAATCTGCAGTACTTTATGACGACTAAGGAACTGAACAGACGTCAGGCCAGATGGGCGGAAGCTTTATCTGCTTATGATTTTGTATTACTGCACCGCCCTGGATCAAAGAATCCAGCTGATGGGCCCAGTCGTCGCGCAGACTACAGTGAGGCCTATAATGGCCAAACTATGTTACCTACCCTGCAACAGAAACTGAAACATGGAGTTAAGCTAGGCTGGGAAGCTGATACTTCTTTTCAAAATGATATTTCTTCTGATGTAGTCTGTGCACGGGTCTCTAATGAGCAAAATGCTCCTTTTAATGAGCGAAAAGCGCTCCATACGTCGACGTCTTATACCTCTCGCGTAAACTCTTCCCCTCTGATGCGCGTTGAGCAATATATGCCCCGGATTGCAGTCAATAAGGCTATTCTTGGGGACTCAGCATATACAGAAATGCCTGAATCCTTCACCTCATTTCTGAGTAAAGCACAGAAGATCGATTCTTTTGCTGCTGAGCAAAGAGAGAAGGTAAAAGAGAAGGGTATGACTGTTGCTGAAAATATGCTATGGACAATTTCTGAGGATGATATATTGCGTGCTGATGGTCGCGCGTATGTCCCTCAACAAAAGGCACTCATTGATGAAATTATCAGTGCAAACCATGATGATCCGCAGGGGGGTCACTTTGGTATAAAAAAGTCCATAGACAGCATCCAGGACAAATACTATTGGCATGGGCTAGTCAGGGATGTCAAAGATTATATATCCACTTGTGATACTTGTCAAAGAGTTAAGCCAAAACGGCACAGACAATATGGAGAGTTGGGTACAATTCCCTTACCATCAAATCCTTTTGAATCCATTACTATGGATTTTATTACAGGCTTGCCAGCCTCTACATTCCTCCACCAAACCTACGATGCGATTTTAGTGATTGTGGATATATATACCAAGTTTACGATCTATATTCCTTGCACCAAAAACATTACAGCGGATGAGCTAGCGGAAATCGTTTATACCAAGTTCTATACAATTTACGGAGTACCTAAAAACCATATATCCGATCGAGGTTCGCTGTTTACAAGCCATTACTGGTCCACCTTTTGTTACATGCTAGGCGCACGCCGGAAACTTTCGACAGCCTTTCACCCTCAAACAGATGGCCAAACGGAACGACAGAATCAAACCTTGGAACATTATCTCCGATGCTTTGTCAACTATCATCAAGATGACTGGGCACGCTGGCTACCACTAGCACAGTTTGTTTACAATACCTCTCAACATGCCTCTACTGGAATGGCACCCGCGGAAGCCTTAATGGGATATCGACCTGATTTGAAAATTAACGTCAGCAAACCACCACAACCGGTTGCCATACATGCTGCTAGCCGCGCTAAACATATTGAGGAAACACGCCACAAGCTCATCGAGAACCTACAAAAAGCACGACAAGCACAGAAAATCTATTACGATGCAAAACATAAGCCTCAACAATTTAAAATAGGTGACTACGTCATGCTCAATGCAAAAAACCTCCGATTACTACGCCCGGTTCGTAAACTCGACCATAAATATGTTGGACCCTTCAAGATTCTGAATACCATCGGAAAACAAGCGTACAAACTGGAACTGCCACCTTTATATAGAAACATCCATCCTGTATTCCATGTTTCTTTATTGGAGCCATACAACCGCAGGAATGGAGCTTTACCAGAACCAGGACCGGAACTTGTCGACGGCGAAGAAGAATACCAAGTTGAGGAAATTCTTGAAAAACGACAACGAAAAAACAAACCTCCGGAATATCTTGTGAGATGGACAGGTTGGGGACCTAGTGGTGATACATGGGAACCGGAAGAAAACATATTAAACACTCAGGCATTCGAAATCTTCCTTGAACAAGAAAATGAACGACAAATACAAAACCAACATACTCCCAAACGCCAAAAGCGCGAATCTCAAGTTGAAAAACGCTAGAAGCGCAAATCTCACGTATTCGTAAATTACCGGCACCCATTTTGGGCGCAGAGGTATAGGCAAATGCCTATCCCACAGAACATTTGCCTCCTCACTCCTCCCCTCCCCCATCAACCTACCCATTCTCCGGCACATCCGGTTACGAAAGGCATTCCCCCCCATCTTCTCTCCCACTCCTCCACCGTCCGGGGCACCCGCTCCCCCTGCTCCACAGACGCCAATGGCACTGCGGCCACCGGCGCCTTCACAACCTCCTCCATTGGCTCTCCAGCCAGCTCCTCTCCCGTCAACTCCTCTCCAATCAACCCCTCCGCCACGGAGCCCCCGGAGCTCAACACCTCCAAAACCCCCACATCCTCCTCCACACCCTCCTCTTCCTCTAACACCTCTGCCCTGGAAGGACCAGGCACAACGTTCGCACGGAATCCGACTGTTGTACGTCACGAGATTAGGGTTAAAGCTAGGGCAACAGAACAAGCGAACAGCGAATGATGCTATACTGGAACAAGCTAGTGAAGCATGTGACCACGCTAATAACGCCACTGATAGAGGACACCAACAATAATACGCGATAAGCGCCCGGAGAACAACTTACTTAAAATCGGGATATCTGAGGGAGCCCATTTCAACAAAAGGGGGGGGGGAGGGAGAACGAAAATTTTATTGAATTAAGAACGAAAAATCGCAGCAGGAGGGCAAAGAGTTTTGATGATGGTCAAGTTAAAAAAGAAGAGAAATTTTCAAAGGAAAAGAAATTCTTTTTGTTTCTCTGCACGCAACCCCTAGCAACCAAAGAATCCACCAATTCTACCTCATTAAGGAATCGATAAGAACGCGTATACAAGCTATTGAGGGGACGCGATCGATACACTGCTATCAACAAGCGGCATCTACAATACGGAAATGCAAACATCTACTAGCAAGCAATCTATACAATCGCTGAGGGCAGCTCTTATAAAAAAGGGGGGCAATTGTAATGCACTCGTTTATTATTTCCTTATTATTATATTATCTTTGTTTATATCTTCGTCTATTCTTACCTCTTTCCATTATACTCTCGCTACCACTATTTCTGTATGTATATATATATGGATGCATGTATTTCGCACATCTTCTTTCTCTTTCTTTTCCTCTTCAGCGATTAGCTACAACTACAACTACAACTACAACTTCAACTATACTACTACTATAATTATTATTATCTTCCACTACACTATATACTATCTTCTACTATTCACTCTTCACACTGTCATCACCCCTCACAATCCATTTTTTCTTCATTTTATAAATGAGAATAACTGAAGCAGCTTTGCAGCAGCACTGTATAAATCTGTCAGAAAAAATCTACTGATTTTATATAAAAATAAAATTTTCATATTTCATCGATCATATTCTTTTATATTGCATCTGAATGATGTTATAAAGTGATTGGAAACTGGTTCAGACATTTATATGATGTCATGGAATAAATGGGATTATCTGAAGAAAAGTGATGAGCCGTGCGGAGCTGCTACAAAGCTTTAACACAATCAAGAATGTGATATTTTTTCTGATTTTTACATATTTATAACAGCTTCTTCTGAGAAGATATGTCTGTATAACATAACATAATTGAGTAAATCAGTTGATACGTCTGAATATACAGCTGAATATACAGCTGAGAATATATATGAAGCATGTTTTAAATCTTTTAAACATTTTATAAATAATACTACGAGAATTTCTACTCTATCTCTTGTGAGAACTTCAGTTAAAATATTTTATTTAAAAATAATTTGAAATTGTTATTCATTTTTAAAACTTCTGAAAAGGAATTGTTCATCTGATTAATTTATAAAAGAATTTATTTGTTTTAATCAAGAAAATTCTAACACAAGATTGTAATTCTTTATATTCATTGCTTGAAAAGAATGAGATATCTGCTATGTGTTATTTTTGTGATCAGTGACAGTAATTGCAATGTTATACTCTTTAAAGAAGTGTATTATACATTCATCAATTGATTTGATTATTTTGATTTTGTGATGAGCAGTTTTTAAATTGTAATTCTTTATTCAAAATTCATCAACACAATTCACTTCTGATTCAAAGTCTATTAGTGCAAGCACTTTTTGCAAATTTTTAGATGTAGTGATTTTCATTATGACAGTGGAGTTAAAAGCTTTTTGCATTGATTTTTTATGTTTATAACTGTCATTGTGAATTGAATGATGTGTTTTAAACATTTTTTGAATTCTTTAAATTCTTCATATCTTTTACATCAGTTTTTGAGTCTGATTTGATGTTTTTGAATTTATTTTTTAATTGTTTAAAGTATGAATTGATGGTATGTTCTGATCACTTGCAATAATAGCAGTATTTTAATTGAATGAAATTGTCAAACTTTATAGTGTCATTTTATCTGTATTTGTTTTGTAATTTATTATCAGCATTATTTCTGTTGTTAAAGTTTTGAATGAGGTTTTTGAAATTTGATTTCTCTTTAAATTTCTTCTATCTTTTTGACAGATTTGATTCCATTATTGCAAGTTTATGAAGAGTGATATCATAGCTTAACTCCTCTAATTTGATTGTGTATTTGTCAAATTCTCAATGAATGAAAGGTAGAACTTTTATATAGAGATGTGATTTTTGATGATATTCATTATAAAAATGTTGCAAACACTTTTCAATTGATTGTAAATGTGAAGTAAATTATTGAATTATCTGATTTTTTTGTTACCTTGTTTTTCAATACTGTTTATCTACATCTTGAAAACTTTTATCTAAATCAGTGATTTGACATTGCATTCAGTTAATAAATTCTTCTCATAGTGGTAAAATTTGCATATTATGTGTATGTTGATATCAATGTTGTTGCATTTCAATATTAAAATGAGTAACAGCTTTGATGATTTTCTGATGGTTGTGTTCATTGTAGTAATTAAGATCACTAACATGGAAAGTAATAGCAGTTGTAATAAAGTTTTCAAATTCTTTTATATTTTAATTTCAGAACTTTTTCACATCTCTCTAAGAAAAATGATCACTCATATTGAGATTTCAAAATTTTAATTGTCAAAGTGATATCTGACTACATCTTCTACTGACAATAGTCACAGTGCTTTTCATTAAAATTGTCACACCCTTGGTTGTGCCAAGGCCCCGTGACGGCTCCACACGGCCCATCGTTTCCCCTCGGATAATCCCATCTATCCCATGACATCACGAAGGTGTCCGAACCGGTTTCCAACCACCCTATGACATCATTCGGATGCAATAGAAGAGGATCCGATTGATGAGATATGAGAATCCTGTTTCTATACGGGGTCTGGATTCCTTCTGGCAGATCAATGCAGCGCCACTGCGGAGTTGCTTCGGCTACCCTCGCTTATAGAGTGAGGGGAGGATGGCTGCCCGTTGTCTATATAGAATAGCTAGATGCTGGCTCTCTATTCCAGGAGCCAGCGATTCGTCTTTTATCTTTTGACAATAAGATACCAGAGTTACCACTGTCCTCATACAATATTCATAGTGTGCCGAGTACCTCTGGTAGTTCAGTATTTGTATAGTATTCTACGAGTTCGCGGTTCAAGCGAGATAATCAAGCCCACCCATAAGGCTTCCCATTATATACCATCCTCCTCTGTGCCGCTGCCGAGTAGCAATCGCCTCGGCGCCGTCACATTACATATGAAATCTTGATTAATGAAGTGGCCTTTGAGCATCAATAATCTTCAACTGTTGAAGATTTATGTATTTTCATATAGATAATCTGCTTAAGAAATACCTTGATTTCTGCAGAAATAGTTGACTGCCAATTCTGTGAATTGAAAGCTGAATTCTTTGAGATCTGTATCTTTGCATAGACATTGATGGAGCTTGTAATATTCTGAATATTTGCCTCTGAGATATAAAGAGAGAATAGGGCATATGAGCTCTGTGGATCATATTATTGAGCAGATTGGCAGCTGGCAGACGATGAAGAGCTTCCATAGAATTGAATTTGACATCTTTCAGAGGTGGAATATCTGCTATAATTTCACTCAGAGATCATTTTCATTTCTCACTCTTTTTTGTACTGTCTAATAAATAATCAGCAGATATTATTTGAAGAAGTATTAGAGAATTGAAAATACCTTTGAATGCCATGATTTCTGCAGAGTGTGGGTGGGTAGAAAGGTGAATTCTCACAGCTGGAAGGTTGGAAGATGAAGTGCAGCAACACGTTGAGAGAAAACGCGAGATAGTGGATCTGTACCAGCAAATAGAATTGCATATATTTTAGTATGAGAAATTATTGGTTTGTACTTCTGAACTAACAGCTTAGTTATTACACTAATGGTATTGCGCTAATTGTGCCTCGCCCCCAGACGAGGAGATAGCTGCTTCACGATCCGATGATTACAAGGGTAGAAACAGGGAAGAAAGAAGGGTCAAAATACGCGAGTGGGGACGAGCGTTCGGTGGTGGATTACGTTATATAGATCCTAAGCCTCTAGCTTAGAGCTCACCACAGTACAAAACCAACGACGATTACATTACGCTGCAAAAAGTATTTCCACCATAATATTAAAAAAAATAAATGATAAAGCTACTAAACTGTTAAATTGAACAGTGAGCACTTGAAAGAAAATGAGGACCAACACACCAGTGACATTCTTCCGCACCAGCCTGACGTCCTTGACACTCGCTATGAGACCAACATGTGTAATCGGTACAACGTGGTTCTCTATGTGAGGAAAGGGAATCGCGCTTTGCTTTTGATTTAAGCCTTTCTGTTGCGGCCACTGAGACAAATTGCGTAATATAATCCTTGCGTGGATTCCAGATCTGTTCTTCATCAACCAGGGAGCTGTCAACATTAGCCCACGTTGCAAGCAGTCTTTCATCATTTCCTTTCACAAAATCTTTAGAAAGAGAATGAAGTTCATCAGTAGTCAGTCTTCGATAATCAATAACGGTGCCACGGCTATCAAAGGATCGCAAAATTCCATCATCCCCGATGTCTATAAGTCCATTAGGATCATGTTGAAGTCCTTTCATAGCCTCTGATACCTTTACATATGAACCTTAGTAAATCCGATTAGAACTTAAGAATAGAATGTATAATAAAATAGTGCTCACTGATATTCTTGAAGCTATGGCCGAGATCATAAGGTCAAAAACGATTGTTAGAAATAGCTTCATAATTGTTGCATTAAAAAATATAATATTTAAATATTTCTTAAGTTGAAAAGTATAATATGAATGTGAAAGGTATTAACATCTTTCTTTGATGGGTTATAAGGGATTATTTATCTGCACATCTACAAAGTTAAGCATTGAGTTTGAAACGCCGCTCAGACTATACTAACTATATTGTTGATATCTAGATTGCTGCTTTCCATGCTCATAGTGTATACAGGTATGTCCCAGTATTTTCGTTCCCAGTATTTTCGTTACCAACGTACCAAATATTGTTAGGCCACTGAGGCAAAAGAGCTCTCTCACACCATGGTATATTATATATATATCACAATTTTCCTTTTCCATTGTAAAATATTTCTAGGTGATACAAAGAGAAGTAATATATTAATAATATATATCAATCTTCTGATCAAATCTTCAGTATTTTGATAGTAGAATATTAAATATTTTGTATGTTAGTAGAGATACTGCCCAATATAGATTTGACGGCCAAGGGATTTCAAACTTGATGCCCACTGTAATTAGACTTTAAATTGGGAAGTTAAAGGACACTAACATTGCCTTGTTCTTAAAGGTAAACATAAAAAAAAATTCCATTTACCCGCAAGGAGATATTGGGCGAATAGATTTTCAAAGGCGAACTTTGTTTGAATTATCAAAACGAAAGTTAGATCCTGAAATGGTTAACAATGCCCGGGGGTATATATTTATAATAAGACACATAATCTAAGCTATGATCATATACCTGGTAATCTTGAAGAATAACCTTGCATTAAAATATGCTTTATATTTCTTCGGCTGATGCAATGGAAAATCTCCTCTGCGGGTGCTGCTTACCAGTTGGCGCTAGTGGTAACTGAGCGCTTTTGCTTTTGCTTCAATACCTGGAAATTTATTGCTTATGTATCTAGTCATTTCATGGACTTGGACGCGGGGCACGGTTGAGCATGCCTTGGACAGGGTAAACGAGTTTGTCAATTGAGGTCACATTTACTGTGCACAAAGTGGTTAGAAATAGATAGGGTTAGATGCCAAGTTAAAGGGGTATAGAGCTTGGTTTGGAATTAACATCATTCATAGTATGTACCTCTGGGGGCTGTCAACCTTGTTTTATTGTTTCATTCTATCCCATTCAACTGCCCATGGGAAGAACATACCATTGAACAATGTTTGAG